GGAACAGCTAGTCATCTATAAAAAAACAGACTTTTCCATTATTCACTTTGTTACGGTAAAACATTAAACGAGAAAACCATTTAGTTCTAATATTATGTTTGTAAATTAAATATAAAATTCACCTTTATTACAAAGTTTAGTTAGAGTTGAAGGTTATATAAATGTCAGAGTTGTTGTTTTTGAATTAGTTGCGAACGTCTGAAAACGGAATGTAAATTTATTTTAGAGATGGGATCTAAACGCTTTGTTGTTTGAATGTCGTCTCTATTAACATTAGTAGAGTAATAAATGTGATTATATTCTGTGTACAACGATACTAGGTAACTTTTATTCATAAATTAAAAATTATTTAAGAAGTACTCACAACTTTTACCTTTCACCCGAGATTTAGTAATCTTAACACAACAGTATACTTGTACGAGAGTGCAGAATGTTTTGAAAGCGGTTGTTTGAACAAAAGCTGTTGAATTTAAGTCAACCTTAACTCTCGCTTTATCGAAGAACGCTATCCTTTTAACGGAAAACAAAGGATTAAGAAAATAGGAGACGAAGTTTAGTAAAGCTACATGAGTGAGTTTTCATTTCTGAACCTAAACAAAACACGATCATGTAGCATTTACAACCCGCTATACGCAATCTGTTTTATATGGTAACTAGCAGTTGCCCGCGACTTCGTCCAATATTAAGATAAAAATAGCAGCCTATAATATTCATATATCCGTCTATGTCAATTACCCTTCAGTAAAAGTCTGGTAGAAATCGGCTAATGCGTTTCGGAGATTATCCGGAACAAATCCGGCTTGCGGACAGAGAGACAAAAATTTTTAATAGCGATTTTCGTTATCAGCAAAGCAAATACACCATCTTCCCGAAATCTGGAATTTTTTTTTGATATTATAAGTAGACATTACTATGTTACTATATGTATATATAGATTTTATGTGAACTCTAGAATCGTTCAGATAAATCTAACGTGTGTAGACAAAACTGAGGCCGTCCAGATAACTGTCAGATAAAACTGAGTGTGTGGCGGGCATAAAGGGAAGATATTTGAATGTGCTCGCTGTAACAATTTATCCGTAATAATAAATGAAAATTGTTCTTTTTTATCACCATACCAACCGACTACCAGTTTTATATCTGCTCCTTGTAACACGTGTGTAAAAAAATTATACGTTCTATTTTCTTAAAAGGTAATTTTCCACTTTTGTGAGTTCTGATTCTTCGATCTTATAAGCTATTAAATCTTGGACATAATAGATAATAGAAAACGTTATTGCTTTTAACAAATTGATGGACCATTACAACGGATATTGGTTTTTATCTATTATTTTAATATTGGAGACAACTTAATATTTGTTTTGTATTTTTAATTTAATAAAGTAAGCATTTGTACGTTTTAAAAATTGCTTAGTACAAAATACATGAATTTTTTCTACTTTTAATTTGGTATCAATGATTATATTACTGGCTACAACATAATATTATTAGAGTAATTACTAAAAAAGTTCACCAATAAGAAAACAAAAAAATAAATAGCGTACTCGTATAAACCATTATCTATACTATTATAATAAAGCGTAAACACACACTTCTGTGTTGCCTAAGATGTCAGCAATTACAGCACATTTTTGAATAATCCTTTTTTTAATAAAAAGCCTTATATTTACGTCACGCTTTAGGCTATATATTTTCACGCCATTAAACTTAGGGGGTAAATATTTTGAATAAAAACCCTAATGTGGGAAAAAGACCATAAGTTGCCAGCATCAAGGATGCAAGGTTGCCATGGTTTTGTCATCGTTATGTCATTTTGACATTTGCAATTGATAATTTGACACATGTGAACAATAAAATAATATTTTCACAATTTTATGCGGATGAAGTCGCACGGGAACAGCTAGTTCTTCTATAAGTTTATATTTTAATTGTATAAAACGAAGTTAATGAAAAAATTGAGTGAATCGCAACATGTTTTACTCGGTATCGCTCAATTCCGAATGTGGCAAAAAAGCAATATCCCAGCTCTGTGCTAAATCCACGGCCAGTGAAGCGAGACTGGCCGGCGGGCAAATCCCACAGATTTAAGCCTTCCTCTTTGTTGTAGTGTAACATTAAAATACATAAGTTATGTACATTTACATAAGGTAAAATTGATTGAAGAAATAAAGTGGAGTTTTGTAAAATATTTTTCTAACAGACACTTACATTAATAATATTATCTTACTTTACATATTATTAAAAAATCTTGCTTCAAAATAAATTATAAATTAATTATTAATATTATGTACGAAGGTTAATCTATATCTATACTATTATAATAAAGCGTAAACACACACTTCTGTGTTGCTTAAGAAGTCAGCAATTACAGCATATTTTTCAATAATTCTTTTTTTAATGAAAAGTCCTACTCTTACGTCATGCTTTAGGCTACATATTTACACGCCATTAAAATAGGGGGTAAATATTTTGGATAAAAACCCTAATGTGGGAAAGAGAGCAAGTTGCTGCCAACATCAAGAAAGAAAGATTGCTAAGGTTTGTCATGTAATGTCATGTCATTTTAACATTTGCTATTGATAATTTGACAAATGTAAAGAATAAATATAATTTTCATAATTTCATGCGGATGAAGCTGCATGCGAACAGCTAGTTGAATATAAACAATGTTAATTAGCGATCCTAAAAGAAAGGCGCGGCTACGATGTACCTGAAATGTTAGTCATTACTTTAACGAATAAAAACCTTGAACAAACCCTATTTAAAAGTACTACTACATGAATTAAAAAAAAATGATTGATTGAAAGAAGCAAGACGATATCAATTTGTTTAATTGTATTTGTTTTAGTAATTAAAGGATCGAAGAAAGTAAGGAAGTGAATTCAGATATGACGACTGATATGTACCGAAGAGCTGTTCCAATCCTTTATAGGGACAAGTTTATTGCTTTTAGAATTTGCTTTTATTCATCATTTCCCTCTGAATAAAATTAATAACGAATATTGATAGATACAATGCGAATTTTACGATTCCGTTCTCGCAGTTTCAAGTAAAAGTTTCACATTGAAACTGTTCCAGATATTCAAAACTTTAAGATCTATTGAATGCTAGATGGAACAAAAGTGTTATTCTTTTGAGATTTATTTAAACTACCATGTTGCTCGGGACTTCGTTCCCGGGAAATTAAAAAAAAATAACCTATATTAGTTATTGATAACGTAGCTTTTTAATAGTGGAAGAATTTTTTAAAATCGGCCCAGTAGTTTTTTAGTTATTTCAATATATACAAAATTACAAATCTATTCTCTTTATATCAATATAGACTAGGCTATAATAAGATTGTTAAAAATACAAGTATTTTAGTAATGAGTGAAACTTCGCGTATTTACAATTTTTCTATTCCAACAGTTTTCAGGTCGTACGTGTTGGGGATACAAAAATTTAAAGTTTGCGTGACGGAAATAACATTCAATTCTTTGTGGATAAAGAATTCCTTCCTAAACATTTCAATAATTTAATTGCTGTTTAAGTATTTGAATGTTTAAGTTTTTTAAACTCGACAAATATGTTGGATAAGACAGTAAGATATTCCATTGTGTGTTGTAATCTCAGAAAACATTCCTTTAGTAAATGGATATTCCTACTATATACTATACTAACACGTAGTACATATATAAGAAAAGTAGACTTAAAAAGAGAATTCTTCGTTCAACCAAGACCACAAATTACGAGTGATACGTACATAAATCAGCGTATGTTTGCAAAACCCGTGTGAAGGCAAAGGTAATTTTCTGCCTACTCGAGTCTCATTTGTTCAATGTACCGCACGATCCGGCCCAATAACCGTAGTCATCACTAATCTGACCCAACTCTATTCGTTTACTGCTGTCTAATAATGCGTGCTTTTGGTAACATGATAAAAACGTTATTTTTTATTAAAAAAGATTTCGCCCGGGAATCCGGCCGCGTGGAAAAAAAACCAAAAGTAAGTATACTATGTGTTCTTCCAGACTATGCTCTACAATTATGTTAAACTTAATCGATATCCGTTCAATAGTTTGGGTGGCAAACTCATAACATTCGTATTATTGACATTTATAATATTAGTTAGATCCATTCAAACATCAAAAACCAAGCAGAATTGCAATATTTATTACACTTTAGATAATCTGGATAATAGAGATAAGAAGTTGCTGTGTTTTGCAGCTTCTATGTTAATAATGAAACAAAATTTAAATTTAAATGAGGAAATGTTGCACGATTAAAATTTCAACATCGCGGACGGTGTACAAAGAGCAGTTAACTAGATTGTCACTCGCTGCAACAATAGCGTACATTGTTAATATTCCTTATATTTAAAGCGTATGTGTTTATTTAAACAACTAGCTGTTTCTCGCGACTTCGTCTTTTTATTTTTTTTATGACATAGGGTGGCAAACGGGCAAGCGGCAACCTGAATCCGCCAAAATGGCAAAGCGACCGCAGTCCATAGACATCCGCAATTGCAAATGCGTTGCCTACCCTTATCCGACGGAAGAGGAGATGCACATAAAGAGGATATTTCCCCTTCCCATGCATCTCCTCCACCGTAAAATCCACTTCCCGTTCCCATCCTCTCCTTATAAGAAAAGGGTGGTAAAGAGAAAAGGACTTTAATTAGGCCTCCGGCACCACACTCATCGGACAAAACACGGAATTGCTTCCATTTTACGGCTGTCTTCTGTGTGGTCGTGGTATTACACCGGGCGTGCCGGCCCATTCGTGCTAATATGATAAAGCGGGCACTACCACTGTTAAATCCAAGAAATTAAAAGAAATTGCCTATGTCACTCACTAAAAACGCTTTAATTGGCCCAGTAGTGATTGAGTTATGGCAATATATACAAAAATACAAATCTTTCCTCTTTTTAATATTAGTACGGATAAAACTTTGCACCTCAAACGTTCTATCTCTACCGTTGAAAATTAAATAAATACAACAATTTTTATTGTGTTTTTAATGTTCTTAAAAACAATTTTTAACTAAAAATGTAAGGCTTAATGAGTCGTAATTTATTTACGTTAATAACACAGGACCTTGAAAATCTGTAGTAATATTTTTCGGAATAACTTTTGGCATTGACGTTGGAAGCGGCTCGTTGATATCCGGGTTCAGTACAAAATCGGACGACTTGAAAACCTTGCTGTCTTTCACTTTGTGCCTGAAATAAAATAAAAAAGAAAAGAAGTTAGTTGAAAGAAATCTTATTAAGTTGTTTAAACTTTTATGAAACCGCAGGAGTAAAGGATTTAAAAATAGGTCCGTAGTAATAACCATTTTCATACTTTATTTGTTGGCATTCATTGTAATCCTATCAAAAGAAATAAATTAAATCAAAACTTACCAAAGTTCAGAACTAATTACAATTCTTGTTCGTGGCGTTGGTATACGAGAGAATTGAGTAGCAAATCCTATCGAATACGCTCCTTGGATCGGTAATATGAGCCAATCGCTCGGCGAACATTCTGGGAGTAGTATTGTGAAGTTCTCCATAACACGATCTACGGAGTCGCAACTCGGCCCCCAGAGTATCACTTTGTTTAAAGTCTCTTCATCGGTAGACACCTGTGCAGTTTGAAGTAAAGTTTTATAATAAAATGATTTTCAAGTTTGTATTTTAATAGCTGATGCAGTGGATGACACTTATTTCCGACCCAGTACGGTGAAATCAGATGTCTCAATAAGGGTGAAGACGTGTAATAACAACATTTAATAAGAATAAATTCGTTTTTATTAATTAAAAAAAGAATGATAGAATTATTTTGGTAATTTTTCGAAAATAAACATGCTATGGGTGTCTTCTAATGCATTTTTTTATTATTATATATAGATGTAATTTAAAAAAACTTACCCGGTATCTTTTCACTTTGTGCCATGATTCGTTATATCTCAGAGTTCCGTAGAGTCCGTCGTTAAGATAAATCATTTTCACAAGTTCATTATCTTTTATTACCTAAACATATAAAAACAAACAAAAACTTAACTCATTCAAAACTGATCAAAATAAATTCAGCCATTTTGTAAATATCATAATTATCATCATCAGCCTTTGTCTGCCTCAATAAAATATGCCTGATTAATATCACTTGTATATTCAAACATTGGTTGTTTTAATAAGTAATAAGATGTGAACAAAATCGCATACCTGTTTAACATTGTTAATGCTGCAATAAAGAGTGTATGAAGAATCACAAACATATCTTCCTGGCTCTGCTATCACTTGCACCGTTTTATCAGGAAAATATTCATCAAGTGCTTTATTAATAAGTTTCGCGGCCTGCAGGATAAATCTTAGTAATATTATAAATGCGAAAGTTTAGATGGATGGATGTTTGTTAGAGTTTGTAGATGGACCATAGAGATTAGTCTGGAAGAACACATAGGCTACTTAGTTTTTTTTTAATTCCACGCGAACGGAGCCGCAGGCGAAAGCTAGTAATTAAATAAACATTTCTATGTCATTACGTAGTTTACATTCTATCATTGGACTTCGCAGCATTTAGAAATGATATAGACATATAGACTGAGATATCAGAACAATGTTTGTAGTTAAAATCAATTAGTTCATTGTAATTATTCATCGTTTTACATATGATATAGCCAAAGTTCAACGCGAGAGTGGATTGAATCAAGGAAGTAGTTTTTAAAAATTATTAATAAAACACACCTGGTCAACTCTGTCAGTCCTATCGCTGAGAAACCCACCGCCAATGTCCACTATGTTCATTCGTCTGCCAGCTTTAGCTTCGTGATCAAACAAGGCTTTGGCATAGCGAAGACCATTCTCGTGGCTGTCGACTGATGAACAAGCGCTACCGACATGGAAAGCTACTCCTACTACCTGGAACATGGTTATTAACAAGTTATGAAAATAAAAAAAACTACATTATAAATAAAGTTATAAAAAAACAACAATCGTACAATTAACTATAGTGTCTAGAAATCAAACAGAGATGGCGCTAATAGACATTTGGTGTTTAATCGCTTTATGATTACGGAAGAATAAAAAGTTATATAAAAGTTTTGAGAGAAAACTATTCTGTTACCTTAAGACCAAGAGCAGCCGCTTCGTCTAACAGTTTTATAGCTTCCGTATCGTGACCGCAACCGAATTTTTCTCCTAAGTTGTAAACACTCTTTCCCTCCACACGAATTCGTACCAACAATCTACAAAATTATTAAATAAAATATAATAAAACGTTCAATATAAATAATTTTGTATATGTTAAAGAAGAACCTATATTTAAATACAGCTCTTGGTTGGGTTGAATAGCAATCTGATTATAAAACAAAACGTAAAATGGCGAATTAAACATTTTAGAAGCAAAATTGTATAACTTTGTAGTGCAAGGTAAGACGCAACCGCGAAGAATAAAAAAAAATTAATAGTCTCCTCGAAGATTTATCCTTGATTATTTTTTTTTTCAATCTGTTAAAAATTGTTGATGTAACTTACCTAGCATCTGGCCAATATTGTTTTATCTTCTTTAATTCATAGGACGAATCAAACGTTGTATGAAGTACTCCAGAGTCTCGCGCATATATCATCTGCTCCGCTGTTTTTGAAGGCATTGCATATATTATGCTCCTAAGTGAGAGAAATAGACCTTATATCATATTAAAATAGTAGTGGTAGTCGTGGATATCAAAAATTTTAACTGTTAATTGCATTTATGTCAGTAACAGACATGAGAAATTTGTAACAAAGGTAATTCTGTCTCTAGTCAAGAAGTAATAATTAATTTTATCCTTATATTGCTAGAATTAGAATGACTAGTCTTATTGTTTTCTGCTTTTAAAAAGCTAAAATATTAATTTTACTAGCTTTTGCTCGCGACTTCGTCCCCGTAACAAAATAAAAAAGACTCATTGATGCCGTAACTTTTTAATAGTGAAAGAATTTTTGAAATAGGCCCAGTAGTTTTTCAGTTATTTTAATACATACAAACATACCAAAACACAAATCTTTCCTCTTTATACTATTAGATATAGGTTACGCTTACGTAGGGTTCACATTTAGCTGCCTTAGTTTGTGAATCTCACCAGGCGATGCACAATCGAAGCCGAGTCCAGAAGCGATGGCCAATTTCAACATGAAATCGGAATCATTCGACTTCATTGCTGGAATGTACAGAGAAAATAAAGTGAAACTAAACAATACCTATTATTGAAAGTTTTTTTTTTATCACAGATGTTAAATTATTAAGAAAGAAAAATAATTCTGGTAGCCATATTGCTTTCATTATCGTGCCATTCGTTTATTTAATAACGTAAATAGAAAATTCATTTCCATTATTAAATACGTTATTAATAAACCAAACGATAATAATGTTAAGTTATGGCGACTCTAAGCACGTAATAGTAAATACGCCGGCGGTTTGATAAGAGAATTCAAGATAATGAGTTACAACGTGCGCACATCTGAAACTAAATTATCGCACAACTGTCTCGCTTTGATTCCCTTGAGCTTATATGAGGTGCACACACTACTACATTTTTAGTAATGCAATTAAACAGTTAAATTGGGTGCGAAACAATCGACAATCGCACAACAGTTGTTTGATAGTTTAGTCAGAGGTATCCGCCTACTATTACGAATATTGTATATTGAAGCCAATATTACATTGAATTTTAAGTATAAACGTAACTGACAGTAATAGAATCATGTACCATAAAATATTTGCACTCTCGGCATCTGCGTTTTGAAATGCTGAATGCGTCTGTGCGCCTCGTCCATGTCGAACACGTAGAATGGTTCTTTTTGACGGCCGCTGTCTATCAAAGTGCGCGCTACCTCTGTCGGGGAGTGCGTTGTCAGGACAAAGGCACCCGAATGGATTGCAAATCCATTTTGCAACGCTCCGTTCATTGTCTGAAAGAAAAAGTAAGAAGTGTAAATAGAATTGTAAATTTTAAAAGCGTCTTTTCTATTGTTTAAAGAGTTTTTTTTCTACACTGTTTTGGCAGTGACTGTACAAAGTAAAAGACATTTGAGTAGACTAGTTATAATTCACTGCAAAAATTATAAAATAATTAACAATGGTGAAATTCTTATAAAAATCGAATTTAATTAGTTACATAAGGTTTAATGATGTTAGGAAGAACGATCAAAATCAAGAAGGAATTTAAATAAATTGAAGTAAAAAGTTAGGTATCTTTTTTAATAAAACAATTAATTTACCTTTAAATAAATATGTAACACAATATCAAACAGACTACAATTGTGTTAAACTGTTAAATGACAGTGAGCACTAAGAAAAGTTAATTTTATTATTTTGTTTACACTTCGCGATATAATTGCTATCGTATTAGTTCAAGGTCTTGCACCTTAAGATGCGGATTTCGTACTATTCTTGATAACAATATTATAAAACAAATAGACATGACATAATAACTATAATGTAATTTGCATAACATATTGCTATTCCCCCAAAATTCACAAAAACAAAGAGCGACGGCAACATATGTGTAGGTTAAATTGTTGGGCAAAAAAATAAAGTTCCAATTTTGTCTGTACTTCTAAATGTGCTTAAAATTTAAAGTTTCTTAAATATAGTTATCGGAATATTAAAAAATAAGATCGTGTATGTGACTTGGTATGATGTTTTCACAAAATTACTAAAAATATTACTATCTACATCATATTATAACTACATGAACCTATAGATAAGAAATTATCAGAACATTATTATTGTAACAGACTATCATTATATGTATATCGTTTATTATTACATTACACAAACATTATGATTATGTTGACTATCGCCTGTGACTCCGTTCATGCGGAATTAAAAAAACAATAGCAAGCCTATGTGTTCTTCCAAACTATACTCTACATCTATGTCAAAGTCATGGTGATTCGTCCAGCAGATTAGGTTAGAAGCACACTATTAGTAGAAGTTATAACGTATGGACAAACGTCCATTTAAACATTTAATATTAATATAATAATAATGTTTTCATTGCAATTTTTTTGTTCATGATGATAACTTTCATGACTTTTTCCGAGAGAGCAATTTCAGTCGACTGTAAAATGCGAATAAGTTTTGAAAGAAAGATCATAATTGACGAAGTAAAATTTTGTGTAATACTTAACGTCGTAGTTAGTGTAGACTGACAATTGTTTTTATGCATTACATAAGAGTAAATTGTATTTTACAATACCGCAGAATTCAGTCGCTCGAAAGTTTAACATTGTAGGGAGCTTATCGCACATATGCAGCAGATTTTCAGCCATGTCTGACAAGCCGCAAACAGAGTCTAATACAGCTTTATACGTGCGCGCGGATATTCCAGACTTCCTTAGTATAGATATTGTACTTGATATGTTAAGTAGCTTTTTTAAAACTGACTGTTGCTCGCGACTTCACCCTCGTGAAATTAAAAAAATAATATAAAATATAGCCTATGTTACTCACGGATAAATTACTTTTCTAATGGTAAAGGTATTTTTAAAAGCGGCCCAGTAGTTTTTGTGCGAATTAAATACATACAAAGATTCAAATCTTTCCTCTTTATAATAGTAGCATAGATAGCCAATGATTAGGACTGCAAAAAGCAAAAAAGATATTAGACACATAAACACTGTAAAACATTGAAATAAAAGAAAGATTTTAATAAATCTAGGCAATCTTAAAAAGTTTTTAGAGCGATCCGATTACATAGTCGGATGATTTGTTCACATGAGGAGATAAATTATCGAAGAGTGCAGCGAACTACTCCTTACACGTGGTACAAACTCGTCGTTTTCATTTTTTTTATTATTATGTAAGTGGATTTTTGTTAACTTACCATTCCAACAAAGCTCAAGGTTTGTGCTAGGATATGGTTTACGTTTATAATTGAATGGCGGGATTCGAACCCCCGACCACGTGACCGGAAATCTGTAATCTGACCCTTAAACATTAGGCTAATGGCACTTTTAATCTATCCAACATTTCCTATTTTTTTACTTTTATAGTACATCAATAACATATTTTTTATCGTGCAGATACATAATAAAGCTGCATTGTATCGGTTTTTGTTCCGCGTCTTGTTTGAAAACGTTTAAATTATTGTAGCTAGTTTCCCCGAGTGTACGTGATATCGCAGTAGTTCAGAGACTCTCAATGCGGGTTCTAAACTGTTCTTAAATGTTCTTGTTTGATTCCTATATTAGTTATACCCAAAGCAGTCTTTTATATACGTAGAATAACAGCTCGGTCTTCTACTACCTTGACATTAGTAATATATTTTTAAATTCGGATTATCTTGAAAGAGCAATAATTGTTTCAATAGTGGGAACTAAAAATTCATTTAATTAGTTTTTAGGTAACATTTTGTCCGTATTTATTCGTCCGTATTTCCGAGAAATTATATGTAAATTATTGATAACTGAGTTTGTATCTAATTATTGTATGTTTCACATCGTTATTATTAATCATAATATTTATATATTTTCAACTTCTAGATAAGAAATAATCATTAAGTTAATATTTTTGTGACCGAGAGACTTCATTATTGTAATAAAACTAGCTGTCCCCGTGCGACTTCATCCGCATAAAATCATAAAAATTTTACTTTATTGTTTACATGTGTCAACTTATCAATTTCAAATGTCAAAATGCCATGACATTAAACCATGGCAACCTTGCTTCCTTCATGTTGGCAGCAACTTATGATCTCTTTCCCACATAAGGGCTTTTATCCAAAATATTTACCCCTTAAGTTTAATGGCGTGAAAATATATAGCCTAAAGCGTGACGTAAGTGTAGGGCTTTTTATTAAAAAAAAAGAATTATTCAAAAATATGCTGTAATAGCTGACATCTTAGGTAACAAAAAAGTGTGTGTTTACACTTTATGATAATAGTATAGAGTAAGTATATAGTATAGATGAACTGTGTTTTGTGCAATTTCGCTGATAATTTACAAAAGTAATCTTATGTCAGTGATTTTGAAAAAATATGTAACTATTCTAATCTACGTTATGTTAACTCAAAAATGAATGGAGTAAATAACAGAACGCTCTCGAAGTGTATTTTATTATTACGATTTTTACTTTCGAGACAGCCATATGATATTTAAATCATCCGAAAAGCGTCTTTTTACGAATCTTACTGTGAACATAACCTAAAACGTGCTACAAACTGAATTTAGTTTTAATTAAAAAATGAGAGGATATCTCGGCTTCCAACGCACATCACAATCTTGATTCTACCTTAAAAGGTATTCGACAAAATGTTTTGTTCAAAGAAATATCCTGAACATGGAATTTCAAAGTGCGCGCTGAAGGACGTTCTTTTAATTACATTAAAGGGGGAAACTAATAGAATGTAGCAGGAGAGAAATTGTTTTGATTGCTTGGATTCTTACACTCTTCGTTACGTTCTGTAATTTAAACTTCGGTTATTATTAAATGCAATTCGTAGTTTCCTTTATTAACGAAGCTTTTTGTTTTTACAAATCCTCGATTAGATTTTAATCAGTTTTCAGATATGATGGCATAGTGTGCAAATTAGTTAGTAGTCAAATTTTTTACTCGCATTACTGCTTTTTTGTATTTACAGGATAATGCGTTCATTAATATTCTTGCGTAATATTCTATTAAATCAAATGAATTTATATCCTTTGTCATTTGAAAGGAGATAACTGAAATTTCTACATACCCTTAGGGAATACTGTCATTTAAATTCTGACGACGCCCGGGACTATCTCGTTTATTACGATATTTACTTAAATAGTATTATTTACTTTACTTGAAGATTACTATTATATCTCTAATAGTAAGTTAAGTGTTGTGAGTTTTGCGGCAAAATTTAATAACCGATCGTTAAAATCGATTTGATTTTTTTTTAAAGAATCGAAACGATAGATCAAGATCTTCGATCTGCGATATTTAAATCGTGTAAGATATATTTTTTAAAATTGGTTATTATATTTTTGTCAATTCAGTAACAATCTGACGAAATATTTAAATAATATGCGTCTTTATTATTAAAGTAAGAACAATATTAATATGAATTAATTAACACAATAATGACAAGGGTCCAGTTGTAACGGATAACGGTGACAATGCTGGTTACGGGCTGTGTCCGTCAGGAACATAATAACCATTGAGCACGTATTGTCCGCAATTTATACGAGAACGGATATTGAAGCGTTAATTCTGAACAGAACACAGGTGCTAATTGTGTGTCACTAATAATTTGTGAATCTAGTCAATTTAAAATCCTATTAAGACCTTGCTGATAACTTAAACTTTAATGTAATGTAGTAATCAGAGGGTATATCAGGAATGTTTGCGTGGTAGTTGCGAGAACGTATTCGTAATGTCATGATAGGCGCTGCAAAATTGTAAGACAAATTACGTCGATGTCGTAATGAAAACGTTCTTGCGAATGTTTGTGATAGACTCTCAGTTCACTAATTGACGATTGGTGTTCGATAGTTTTTAAAGTATACAAAATGCTTTTATTACACAATACACGTAAGATGTCTAGAATAAAACATGCATATTGCAGTAAGAAATCTCTTGGAGAATACGGTTTTATGTTAGAAACAAATCAATCAGAGAGCTCATATCCGGGCGAAATTTAAAATGTCGAAAGCTGGCTATCGAAGTATTACTCTCTTGTGATCTAGGATAGCAGACAATTGATGTTGGAACTCATTTTTAACTTTACCAATCTCCTTGGTGAACCCACAGATGTTTGTAGACATAAATTCTAGAATAAATTGATGTGAACTTAAGATTTACTGCTAAAATTACAGTCCAAAAATAACTAAAGCTGATTTTATACATATTGTTTTATTGATGGCTTCTTGATGAGAAATTAATATAAATAATATGGTAACCAAACACATGCTTTTAATGTAACAAGAGATAACATATTATGCCGGTTTTACATTTGCCAGTATTGTAGAGCTGGTCTGGTATTGCCAGCGTAAATATTGAGCGCTACTGGGTTACTTTACTGGCATAATTTCATTGCAAACAAAATCATATAAACTAGGTATATTTTGTGTAACAAACAATCTTAAAAAGTTCCAAGAAATTATAATAACGAAGAAACTTATTCGATTTATTGGTCTATACTTGGCTCACCATAATACTAGTTCTCTTCGTTATGGCTTCACTTATTCTTATTTATGGAGATAAAATAAAATTACATGTCGACAAATTCTTACAACAAATATCACGAAATATGTATGGATTTAAGTACTTGGCTGATATCTACCTATAAAAATGTAATTGATTTATATAATTTCAAGCCATAATC